TGGAGCCTTTGTCTTTAGGCAAGTTAGTTCCCTAAAAGGGGTGAGAGCATTTCAGCCATTCCCTGGAGATTCTGATTTCCTGATTCTGTTCCCTCTCACCCACTGGCCCTGTCTGTCCCCGTCTGATCTGTTCGCCTGAACCTCGGTTGGAATCCTGCTGGATTCTGCCTGTCTTTACGTTTCTGTCTGAGCTGGATGCTCGACGCACAGGACTCTAAACCTGCCTTCACGCTCTGTTGGATTCCTGGAACTCAGAGCTGTCCATTCCTATGTGGACCCCTACTGCGGACTCCTGTATTCCACAACCATTCCAGTCTGATCTCAATGGGCAGTGATCGGGCACACTTTGGAAACATTATAATTGTGTGTTTTTAATGTTAAAGCTGTCATTCCTATCTTTTTAAAGTTGTGTTCTTGCCATTTTTTGTGTGTGTTTCTCTTTGATTCCACCTCCGTTTCTTGTGGTCTCCCCACGAGTCTCTTGCGATCTTCAGAGTGTAAGTTCTACACGCTGTTATTCGAATGCGTCGGTGTGTTGGCCATCTTGTGTAAGGCAGCTTCGTTTACTGACTCAATGGTAATTTTATGACGCAGTTTTGGCACGGTCCGGCATCTTGTGATTCCTTGTCAGTGGTTGACATCCTAGCCTAACTGCAACTGTTATAAATATCTCAATGCTGTCACATTGAATACATGGTTTATTTGTATTTGTTCATTTTTGTATTAAATGGAACTTAATTGAGTCAAATCAATTAAGTTTCATTTCACTATTATCAAAGACTAGTGCAACAGATGTGTTTGCTATATATAATTTACTCTTTTAGAGTACTCTTTCATGTGGTTTGTAAGGAGCTAAATGTTTTACAATTTGTTTTACAAACTGCAGGCACAAGACAAATAAAAGCAAACATTCTGTGCCGGCAGGTTTCGACATTTTAACTTAATCTAGGTGTTAATAAACTGTTTCAGAGGAGTGATCATAGCGCTTTGAATCAGCAGCGCTGTGTTTGTCTCCCTGCCAGCTCCCAGATCAGCTTTGGTCGATGTGGCGCGTCCAGCAGCAAAAGTTACATTTTTCCAACTCCAGCAGCTGCTGCTTCTGAAGCGCTTCTTTCACCTCAGATGCTCAGAAGCTCATTACGCGCTGCTTCAGCTGCTCAGTTGCCATCCTGCTGCTCTAGACGCACTGCAGGATCTTTTAATGCACCTTGATGTGCTTCAACAATGGATGTAAATTGGGGCATGGGAGGACATGGTCCCTGCAGTTTTTACTTTGGTCCCTTGAACTTTTTAATGTCCAAAAACAATGTTATGCTACAGTACACTCTAGGACCAAGTGAAAAATTGTAGCTCAAGCTGAAGCCTGCTTCCCTGAGCTTAGACTGCCCACAAGCTCCTGATTGGCCCTTCATCTTTTCTTGTGTGATTGGCTGACACTGCAGTCAATCCTGAGAAGCTCACTTTATGTGCCCCTAAATCAGGTCTGTGATTGGATGGTCACAGCTCTGCTCAACACGTACGTGAGACCGTTATTAGAACTGTAGGGTGGCAAGTCCTTTTCTCTGCTTTCTGAATAAGTTTTGGATCCTCCATCCCATTTCCTCTGTCTCCGGTAATCATCCTCTGGCTTATTCCATCACCAGTGTCGGAGCCCCAGGGTAAGATAAGTCTAATCCTCTTCCTAAGTTATGTAGCCAGGCTCATGATAACTTGCCGCATAATGTCTTCTCCTGGAGTCAGAGCACCAAAGAATTTATTTAATTCATGTCAATAAAATCTTTGTGATGGCTTTTTTCTCTATTTGAGTCTCTCCAGGTGGAATTATTCAAACCCACTGGTGACACATAGTGGTTTCATGATCTTGGCGCCAGTTGCTGTTTTGATTGCTCATTCCATTCACCTGTCTAACTCTCCCCGGTTCCTAATTACCGCTCATCTGATCCACCTGTTTCCAGCTCCTATTTATGCTGCCTGTTTTCCATCCATCAGTGCCAGATTATTCAAGCCTCGTTTGAGAAATATCGAGCGTACCTGTATTGTTGTTTGAGTGCCTGATCCTCATCTGCTTCTGCCCCTCGGTAGCTGAGTTTTGGTTTGCCCCTTTTCCAGTTTTTTTCTGCCTGTCTCCTGGTTTCGGGCTGCTATTTGTACTCTGCCTGTTAACGACCTTGGATGTTTCCGCTGACCCCAGCTTAGATTATCCCCTTGGTACCTCTGTATCCCTCTGATCTTCTGGTCTGGAGCCCTGCTTCATTACGTGCTCTGGACTCTGCCTCTCCAACCTTCTGCTCTCAGCTTCTGCTCGCTTTAGCTTTACAGGCTGCTCTGCCCCGCTCCTTGAACTCTCTGGGCGGCTCCTGCCGCCTGTTCTGAGTGGCTCACAACCGACTGGTTCCCACTCCTTCCTCTGGAAATGGACAGAACTTATAATCAGAGAATCCAGCAAGTCGGTCCAAGCTGACGCCTCGCATAATCCAGAGCTTTCAATAAAGCGTTTTAAATCAACCTCTTCTGTCTGCCTGAATTCTTGGTCCATTTGTCTGAGCCTTGACAAGTGCAGAAAATTAAATCAGTAGTAAGTTTCCAGATCAAGTACGATTTATCTGGGTAACCCCCCATTGAAAGAGGAACCTAGTACTGTAATCCGCCTTGCATTTTATTTTCTAACATCTGTCCAACTTTTCTTTTTTTTTTTTTTCCTTTTTCTTGCACAGTGACAGGTCTTTCTGCATGGAGTTTGCATGTTCTCCCTCGTCAGTTCTTGCCAGTTACTCCATCTTCCTCCCACAGTCCAAAAACACGACTCCAAGGTTAATTGGCTTTTCTAAATCGTTTCTAGGTGTGATTTTGTGTGTGTATGGTTGTGTGTCTCTGTGTTGCCCTTCAACAGGTTGGACCCTGCCTGTCGCCTATAGACTGCCTGAGATAGAGACCACCCCCAGTGCGACCCTGACAGGACTAAGCGGGAGAAAATGGATACAGTAAAACCTGTATGCTGTTAAACATAAAGCAGAAAAAAAAAATCTTAGAAGGGGACGTTGTGCTCTTTCTTCTCCTGCCAGATACCTGTCAGTGAGGCCAAGAGAGTGACTGAGATAGTCCAGGTTCTTGTGACTTGCTGCTTTAGACAGTCTGTCGCTGCCATCAATCATTTCGGGGGAGCCTTTCATCTCAGTGAAACATGTAGAACAGTTTTGTATGAATACCTATTTCTAGCAAATAACTACTTTTCCACTGAGCAGTACACAGTTAAAAGACAAGCTTTGCAGGCACCTGTCTGCGCAAAGTTTGCCTGGAGTCTGCATGAATGTTTTCAGAGAAAGTTTCAGCACTAGTACTGTATGTGGGGCCCTTAAGGGAGCATGTTAAGGGAGTAACAGCAGCCATCATCATCTATGTTAAACTAAAAACATCAATCAGCCTCTTAGTGAGCAGCCAGATGCCATCAGTGTGCCTAAGGCATCTATAAGGGAGGTATTCCCCTTTTACAACTTGACTCTTCACTTCAAATTAAAAATATATGTTATTAATCCCAAAGGAAAGTGAAATGTTGCCTTTACTGAGAAGCTTTTTTTTTAACAGGTGTAGATATTGATAGCTGTGAACAGGAAGGATCTTCTGTAGCGGTTTTTCTTGCACCTGATCTGGAGAAGCCTCTTACTGAAGACACTGTTGTTTAAAAATCTTCTGAAGAGGATGCTCACTATTGTGCATGATCTTCTTCACTTTAAGAAGAATCATTTGTAAAATAATATCCAGAGGTTTCCAATGAGTTTTTAGAATAGAGCTGGTCTTCTTAATTAGCTCATTAAGCTTCTTTAGGTCATTTGCTCTGATGTTAAAGTATAATCTGATCTGACACTTCCAGTCAAGGTATTTATACTCCTCCAGCTCCACTTTTTTCTCCTATGATCCTAATAGGACTCATCTTGTTTCTGTTTATTCTGAAATCTACAATCATCTCTTTTGTTTTGTCGACATTAAGGATCAGATGATTGTTTCCACACCATGCCACAAAGCGGATCATTAGCTCTCTGTTCTCAGCTTCTTGTCCATCTTTGATGCACCCCATGGCTGCACAGTCCTTAGAAAACCTTTCTTCAGCTGGGATTATAATCTCAAATTTATGTCTTGTAATAAAAAAACGATCAAACTGGAAACTCTGAAATTGAATGAAAAAATTTTGATTTTGGCCTTAAGTGTTAAAGGCCAAATCGTGACAAGGGAAAAATAAACTGAATTAAGAAATTGAATATGTCTTATATATATATGCATTTGCCTTATATGTTTAGGTATAAACAAATTGAATTGCTCCAGCTTTAGAGTAAGAGTGAGGATCATTTTCAGTTTTTAACCTTTGGAGTGAGGACACATTCACAAATAAGGACCTTTTGGCCTGTCCTCACAAGTTATTTTGCTAATAATAAAAATAGGACAGGCATGTCAAAAGTCGGTCCTTGGGGGACACTGTCCTACAGCGTTTCAGTATTTCTCGGCTCCAAATCAGATTATTCTGATGATTGCAGTTCAACACAAGCCTTTTAATCAGCTTTCAATGGAAATCAGATCAATGGAAGCAGGGAAACCTCTAGACAGCGGCCCTCGAGGACCGACGTTAGATGTGCATGGTCTATGGCTAAGAAGTCAGTTGGGATAGGGTGAGGTATCTACCTCTAATGGTTGGGTTTAGGATTACCTTTAGGGTTAGTGCATGACTGAAAATCATTGGCAATCAACACATGGTCCTCACTACATATAACAAGACGAGAGGGGGTGTGTTTGATTGTATGTGTTGGGGTGGGGGTAAAGGACTGTGTGTCCTTTGCAGAGCCAATTTGAAATCAGCTGTTTAAGTTGGCTCTGATGCATCCCAGCAGTTGAAAGCTGCGCTGTGAGCCAGGCAGTGCAGAGCTTTCAGATCCTCTCCTGCAGCAGCAGCAAAGTGAAGGCTGGAAAGAAGAGAAGTTATACATTTATCAGCTAGAGTTGCTCATGTTAGTATACATTTCTTTGCACTTTCTAGCAATCAAGTTCCAGTGACTTAGTTAAGGAGCAGTCATTAGAAAAGGTAAGCAGCTTTGCAGTGAATGACTATTGTCGATTAAACGGATCTGAGATTTGAATAAGCTTTTATGAGGGACAAGATATTGTAAAATCCTTATCTATGAGTGATGCTTATTGGGTTGACAATATTGATTTTAACACAAAAAATTTAATTTATATGATCATGTTTAATCGATTAAGCAATTTGATATTTTTTAAAGAAACTATATAGGAGGCAAAGACATTTGTCAGTTACTCTTCAAAATGGATCAACAATATCAACTGCGATATTGTTGTACTGTCTTATTCACATTTTTAGTTTATAATATTTAAAGTCATAAATTAAAGAAGAAACATGTATTTAAATTTGGTGACACATTTTTAAACAGAAGTAATTTCGTGTTGATTCCGATTGATGGGATCCTCATCATGTGAGCTGTGAGAAAGTCAGTCACATTTATGCCTGCACACACAAACTGCAGCTTCCATTAATATGATCGATATTGGAACAAAGTGAATGAATACATGATATTTTTTTTGCAATGCAGATGATTGAGTTGGGTCTCGCTGATGAGAGTCTCATCGATGAGCTAATGGAGCTGACAGCACAGAGCATCGGAGAGCTGGAGATCCAGGAGCACTTTAACATCGTTAAGGAGATTGGCAGAGGAAAATATGGCAAAGTGCTCCTGGTCACACATCGTTTTAGAGGTAATACGGTAATGGTTTGGGGGACACATTTAACCCACATACAGAACACTCTATGTCAGAAAAAAATATTATTGAAGGAGCAATTAGACGGAGACTGAAGTCATTCTGTCTGAAGCAGATGAAAAATGTCCAGGAGGTCTGTGTAGCCGGAGCTTCTTTCTCTGGTTGAGAAGAAGGAGAGTTGCTTGGGAGGGTTGCTTGGGAGCTGACAGTGAGGAGATTGAAGAAGCACAGTGGACGGTTGGCAGGGCAAGATCACACTAGTGAAGGAAGACAAGTCAGAAAGCTGCCAGTCAGGGAATTGAAATCCAAACACATTCTCCAATGTTTAAAGGTGAAAACTTGAAGCAGAACGAGGGATGGAACAAAATCCAGAACTCTGAGAACCTGAGAACAAAATATTGTTTCCAGGAAACTTGAAATCAATCACACACTACAGGGCTATAGTTTACCACACTGATAGACTCACAGGCATCAGGCTTCTTTTAAACTCCTGATTAGGTAGATGTGAAACACCTGCTACTCCACCCAGCCACCATGCTCTCACTGCCGCCACCTGGTGGAGAACATAGTGAAGCAAAAAAGAGAGAAAAAGACAGGAGACAAATCTAGACCCTGGCAAACACCCCTGCGGCTTCCGTTAACGTGAGGCAGGCTTTTTTTCTATTTAAATGGAGGTAATATCTAAATATAAAAAAAAATTAGAATAGGCAGTGAGAGCATATATACGCTTCTTTAAACACCTTTAAGAGTAATCACATGAGATACACTCCAGTTGTTAAAGGTTACTGTAGGTGGGGCAAGGTGTCAGATGATCTGGGTATAGAGGGGGCACAGAAGCACTCCCTCCAACCTCCAAGTACCAAGTTATGAAAAGGGGAAAGACACACCCACATGTGAATGTATGTATATATATGCATATATATATCTAAACGTGCCAGATCAATAAGGTAATAGACTGCACAAAGGCCGCTAATTGTTTCGTTTTCAGAGTGGCCCAGAGATGAAGCATACCAAGTTTGATTGAAATCAGGGTAGGGGAAGGGCTTAAAATTAACCAAAGGTTACAGGCGTCTCCAGAGGCACCAGAGGCTTACCCTCACCGAGTAGGGCTAAAAAAAGAAATTCACCAATTCCACCAATTGATTATAGGGGGTTGGAATTAGGGGCCTCAGTGGTCAAGAGGAAAAAAAAATGTCATCATCGGTACCTTATCTTCCCCTTTTCATACTCCCAGTCCGACCAAACTTGTCATCACTCAGACCAAGACATGGCAGGTATTGGCGGCCGTACCTCATCTACCACTTTCTGTACTCAAGGGAAAAGGCATGCACGAAAATTGGTGCATAAGGGGAGTTGCCTATACTCACAATAGGATATATTCAGAAGTGTCGGCGGCTCATCATAAACTTCCACTTTCCGTACACCCACCCTCCATCGTACAGCTGGCCATACCTTTTTATGCTCTAGGTACGATGAAAATTGTGAGGTATCAGAGCCCGCCCCTTATCTCCACCTTCCGTACCTGAACCGGCACTTTCTGGAACTGCTCCAAACCATGGCAAAACGGCAGGGCCTGAGGCTTCAGGGCTGATGTTTTGAAAGTTCGCAGTGAGAGCAACAGGGTGAAATCTGGATTAGCGTGCCCACAGGAGGCCAGGACAGTCACACGGAGGCATCCCACAGAATTTTAGGATACACGGGACGGGGCCGACGCTGAGTCCGGTCAAAGTTTGGCTGTTGAAGGTATAAGGTACGATACCCAAAGTTTTGCTTGGGTCTGTACTTGCGATACAGCACTTGGTACCTTATGAGTCAATGAGGATAGAAGTATATAACTAATTACTTTAAAAAAAGTATACAGATACATTTACATCATAGAACTGAAAACCCACCAATGGTCAATGCATAATGTGTTTCTGTGTATAAATAGGGTTGCAGTCAGTCAAATAGCTTGTTTCAATAAAGTCAAAGTTTATATAAGTAGACTGTGATCACTATTCAGTCCTGATTTTTACTACTGTTCTGTTTCTGATTTAAAGGAACTCCAATGGCCTTGAAAGTGATGCCTAAATCCTCAACTAAGCTGCAGGGATTTCTGCGAGAGTACTGCATTTCTCTACACCTGTCCTGCCACCCCTGCATTGTGGGCCTCTTTGGCATTGCCTTCCAGTCTAAAGAGCACTACTGCTTTGCCCAGGAGCTTGTGATTGGGAAGGATCTTTTTGCAGTCATCAAGCCAAAAGTGAGTCTTTTCAGACGGATCATCAAACTATAACACTCTATTTAGATACAGTGAATCCTGTTCATATAGCTCCTGTGCCTTAATATTTTAGACTGCTGATGCCCTTCGGTTTTGGCTTAAGTATCCTTACTGATTTGCCCTATTCGGACAAAGCAACAAAACAATATTTGATTATGTCTAGGGATGTATTACAGTTATACCAATAATATCAAAGAGATTTAAAAACAGATAAAGAATTAAACAAGTGGTCATTGGGTGACCCTGCCTTCGAATGGGTAGCATGCTCACAATCACGATCTAGTGACAATCAATCTTATAAAGTTGTTCTTCGTTGTTGGTGTTGTGCTCTGAATTTACTGTAAGTTGTTTCATTCATGATAGAAAGGCAATGAAGGACAAAAACCAGCAAAAACCAAATCATCAGGACTGTGGGTCCATCTTTAACTGTTTAGCCAAATACTAAGTGGAGATTAAAAATCTATGTCAGATGTGTGTGTGAGTGTGTTTTTCAACAATGTTTTTCCCTCATCATGGAGAACGACCATCCTCATGGGGACCTATTCCAGGTCCCATAGGGGGAGATTACTGTTTTACACTTACATATAAGGTTTATGACTAGGGAGAAAATATAGTTGCATAGCAATCAATGGAAACCTTTACCGGTATAGTGAAACCCGGCTGGGGTGTGTGTATTGTTGTGTTGGCCTTCTGACCTGTCCAGGGTTTGCTCCACCTTCTGCCAATAGAATTATGTAGAAAGGCATCAGTCCCCCTGTGTTCCTGATAGACAAGCAGTAGAGGATGGATCGACATTAGAGGTTTAATAATAGCGTGGTTTAAAAGCCAGTGGGACCCTTTTACTTTTATGCAATATGATACTATATTTCTGAACTCAGTTTGTGCAAAGCTCAGCCAGCTGTTTCAGGTTAGGGTTAAGGTCTCACTTCAAGAACTGATGTGGCACCATCATGTACTCTATGTTCTTTAACATCACCAATGTGAACCCTTTTTAAAGACACAAGTGAAATAGTAAAATAAATAGAAACATTTTCTTTCTATAAAGATTTAGTTTTTTCCAATAGGTGGAACTAGCTCTCTGATTTTAACACCCTGATGATCAAGTGACAATGACACAAGTACTGTATGAACATACAAAAAATGAATATAAAAAAATGCCTTGTCTTGTTATTGCCTTTTCTTGTACTGGAGGATTAAATAAATTTAATTCTCCCGTACATAATTTTATGAAAATTACACTCAATACATATTGAAATTACTGAATTACTAATAGATAGAGATTTTAGTTTTGTGTCATTACAACCATTTCTTAAACATAACTGCTACAAAGAAATTGTATCCTGTTTCTTGACACAGGTTGGTATCCCAGAGTCATCTGTCAAACGCTGCGTTCTCCAGATCGCCAGTGCCTTGGAGTTCATTCACAGCCATGGTCTGGTCCACCGGGATGTGAAGCCTGAAAACATCCTCCTGCTGGACACCAACTGTTGTCAGGTCAAACTGGCCGATTTTGGCCTGGCCCAGAAGAGAGGAACACTTATACGCTTCATCAGAGGAACCTTGCCATACATGGCCCCAGAACTTTGCAGCGTGGCTCTGCTGGACAACCAGAAAGAAGTGACAGTGCCTCCTCTGAGTGTCGAGCCAAGCCTGGACACCTGGGCCTTTGCAGTGGTTATCTTTTGCATTCTCACTGGTTACTTCCCATGGGAGCACTGCATGGATTCAGACAGCTTCTACCTAGAGTTTGCAGACTGGTGTACGATGAAGAAACACTCTTATATTGAAGAGGATATTCCTCCTTTGTGGAGGAGGTTCACTCGAGAAGCTATGGAGATGTTTGGTAAGCTTTTGGCCCCAGATGCCTCACTGAGGAGTGCAGTAGGAGAAGTGAGAGCCTATGTGGAAAAGGACTGGCTGAAAAAAGACTATGGAAACCAGCTGTTTTAGATGAATTAACAGTGTGTGTCTCATGGAAGCATGTTCTGAAAAAAAGAGTGTAGTGTTTTAATAATTTCCACAGACTTTTTAAGACATTTCGAACCTTAGAATCTTAAGGAATCTTTTCACAGATGGCCTGAATTCTATAATCGAAAGCAAAGAAATCATAACTCCATATATAGTGTTTATAACTCAAATAGACTTCAATTGAAGAATTCAATTCAGAGAGGTAAGACAATTTACCAACATTTCTACTGTGAAAAAAGAAGCGAACATTGTTATCGCTGAAAAAAGTTCCCCATCAGTAGCTTATAATGTGGATTTTACATAACTAAAAGGTTGTCTGAGGAAAGACATTACTTTCTGAGATAGACGCTTAAACATAAAAAGGTTTAAGCCAACTAAAGGGATCAGCTAATAACTGTTAGCTACTTTAAATTTAGCAGATGTAGATAGCTTTTTGACTTTTTGTTTTTTTTTCATGAAAACTTCTGTATTCTTTGCTTGACACAAATAAAACAATTTAAACAATATTGTCTTCAGTCGAGGCAAAGTGCAAAAAATAACAATTTCCTTCTCAGTTAGCTGACCGTTAGCGACCACTGATTACATCCCTGACTATGCATTATATCAGGAGAACCAGATATTCATATTATTGTTTTACATTTTTCAAACAGGTCTTAGAATACATTTAGGCCAATTGAACTAAATGGCATGTTCAGAACACTTTCACTGATTGATATAATGAGCATTGCCTGCAGGGCTTTATAATGACAGAATGCATGTGGAGAAAGCCAACAGGAGTAACATAGAAAGCAGCAGAGCTTTGCTATATTGTTTAAAAAAAAGAGGTCTTAAATGATTTGGAGGAAAATATTGAACTGAGCTAGTATAAATCTTTCTTTTGAATAAAAAGTTATTATATTTAATTTTTTGCTTTTTATTTGAACCCGGTTGATTATGCATCCTGTCTTAAAACTATTGAAAAATAGAAATTAATTGACCTATCACTCAATCCAGACAGCGTCTTGCCCACTCAAATCAAATGAATTAAGAAAAAGTCATAAAGGTGCTGCTTGATGGTGCAATTTATAGCACTGTTGCCTTGGTGGTCCTGGGTGTGACTGCTGTCTTTCTGCATGGAGGTTGTATGTTCTTCATGTGCATTCTTGGGTTCTTTCCTAGCTCTCCGGCTCCCTCCCACAGTATAAAAACAATTATGTTAATAGACATCTTTAAATTGTCCTTACAATTTACAGATCCCAACCTGTGAGTGTGTGTGTGGTTGTATGTGTTGCCCTCCGATGGGCTGGCAACCTTTTTAGGGTGGACCCCTCTCTCTGTTGGAGATAGGCACCATCTTCATCTTGACCTGATATATAAGTGGAAGAGAGTGGGTTGATGGAAAATGGTAAAGGAAGATAATGATATCATGTTAAAAATTGATAAAAAATGTAAAGCAATTAAATGTGGTTTATTTGCAAAGATGTCAGGTGTTAATAACTCCGGCAGCAAGGAGCCTAGGAGTGTACCTGGCCAGCTCCTGAGGTTATTAGTTCGAAACCCACTGCCACAGACTGCCACTGGGTGTCTGAGCAAGATCCTTAACCCCGACACTGCTCACCGGGTGCCTCATGATGGCAGCCCACCGCTCCCCAAGTCGATGGGTTAAATGCAAAGGTAAATTTCTACAATGTGAGATCAAAAAAGTTCAATTATTATTATTCATGTCAAGCTCAGAACAAAAGGACCCAGTTTGAGGTGGAGAGAGTTAAGTTTAACAAACTGTTTATTCAAGATGGAGAGAACAGATTCGGCATCTAAGGAAGGAACCTCTGCAGGGGGAGAAAATGGGTTAATGGCCGCATCTATCTGATAGAGGATGATTATGAACATTTGCGTCTTAAAGTTCACTCCGTGCCCAGATGACGAGGTTGGTTACAGCCAGTCAGCTGCCAACAAGATGGCGGGCGCTGGTCAGAGAGTCCCAGACGCTCCCAGAGAACGGGCTCAGAGCCAGCAGATCAGAATTCCGAAGAGGTACGGTACACAGGCAGAAATCCAGCAGGAATCCGAGGACAGGTCAGGCAAACAGATCAGAATGAGGACTGGAAGGCTCAGGGGTCCAATGGCAGAATGGGTCAGGATCAGGCAATCAGAAACCATCAGGTACCCTAGAGAACTCTCACCAAAGGCTTGAATAATCTGGCACTGATGACTGGTTGAAGGCTGGTTAAATAGAGGCTATATCAGGTGGATCAGATGAACAGTAATGAGAACTGGGAGCTAGGCAGGTGAATTAAATTAGTTATCAGGCTCAATAATCAACAAAGGTTGATTCATAACATCTTTTGAGGAGACTAGGTGGACCTCTGCAGGTAGGTCCTGGAGAAAAGCAGGACTTAGTCATCCAAGGACAGACTAAACTGGAATAGCTGACAGGACCAGGCCAGACTTCAGTGGGGAGAGAGCAGATGTATCAAGTAGTGAAGTACAAATACTTTGTTACTGTACTTAAGTACACTTTTTAGGTATCTATACTTTACTTCATTACTTATTTTTCTTCCTACTTCTGACTTCTACTCATTACATTTTCACAAAACTATCTGTACTTTCTATTCCTTACATTTTTAAAACAAATGTTACTCGTTACTATTGGCTTCGGTTTAATGTTTATAAATATTTATTTCACGTCATGTGCTCCATTCAATGCAGATCAATGGTGCCATCCACATCTAGTGAAAACTATTGGAATTGGATAAGTCATTTAACACAAACACTCATTCATCAAATTTGTGCTGATGCTAAGGGTTAAGGTTTGCTAAATCATCAGAAGCAAACAGGTGTTCTTCAAACTTGCTAACTTGAATTGTCTATGCCATGCTACAATGTCGGATTTAGAAAAAGATGTAGAAATGTCTGAAAGGTTGGACACAGGAGAGGGCGTATCGGGAGATGGAGACCAACAAGACCTCCCTCATCCTTGGCCCTATCGCAAGGAATTTTTCGAAATAGTCAAAAAATTGAGCTTTCAATTCATATAGTGGCATCTGGCTGTTTATTTTAAAGTTTACTTTACAATTCTATACTTTAAGTAATTTTGGAGGACATACTTTTTCACTTTTACTTGAGTAAAGAGGTCAAGTTGATACTTCAACTTTTACCAGAGTATTTTTAAACCGCATTATCTATACTTCTACTTAAGTAACAAATGTGTGAACTTTTGACACCACTGGGAGAGAGGATAAGTCGTGGGTAGAAAAAGCAGCGCTGAAAGTCAGATGCAGCCTGTGGCAGCCCTAACGGTCAGGTGCGGCCTGCCGCCTGCCAGCCTACCGACTGAACCGCTCCACTGAGGACGCCATCTCCTCCGCTCTTCACCTGAGCCTGGCACACCTGGAGGAGAAAAACGAAGATGTGTGGATGCTGTTCCTGGTCTTCAACTCAGCTTTCAACACCATCATCCCACAGCATCTGACAGGAAAACTGGAACATCTGGGCTACAAGACTGCCCTCTGAAACTGGCTGCTTGACTTCCTCAACAACATACCTCAGTCAGTCCAGGTCAGACACCTCTGATGTCATTACCGTAAGGCTCCCCTCAAGGCTGCGTCCTGAGCTCCCTGCTGTTCGCTCTGATGACACATGACTATGTACCCAGGTTCACCACCTTTACATCATGAAGTTGGCAGATGATAATGCAGTGGTGGGCCTCATTGGAGATAACGCCCATCCTCACGACCTTCTCCAGAAGCATCACAGAGAGCCTTCTGACCAGCTGTCTCACTGTGTGGTGTAGGGGTGTTCATCACATCCGTCATGGCGATTTGATTCAACAATTTGATTATTTTCGATACTCAAGAATACACTATGATACGATTCGATTAATTGGTTGGTTTTTTTGTTTTTTTACCTTACAGGCTAGACAATGTTTCAAATTTGAAATAAATCAATTAAAGCTGTAATATTGTTATACATTTTTTTTTAGAAACAACAGCAAATAACGGAAGTAGAAAAGTTGCATCAAAAAATACTGCAAAAATACTGCACAAAATCAGTGCAATTAGTGCAATTCAATACCTCCATTCCAGACGTCCCGCCCCCTCCACAGACACTCCGCTGCTCCTCTCCCATATTGTAGCTGACCGCAAACAGTGCCACAGACAGGAGGCCGGCTTATTTTGTTTTTATGACTGAAATTGTGGAAAACAACTCGTGAAGTTTGACCCGTTAGAAGAGTGAGGTGCGCAAGAATGCTGGGACCCTTTTTCCACCTGGATCGCCGCTCTTTTTGGCCCTCATGTCCCTCCGCCCCCACTTCCTCACCGCCTCAGCCGCATCTAGACCCACAGCGTGTAGCACAGACCACGCTTCAATATTGAGCATAAATCAAAAATGTCTGCATCAAGCTCACTGCAACACACTGCTGTAAGAGTATAACCAGGAAGAGAGGTAGGAGGGAAAAATAGGTTTAGCGCCACCGCAGCACGGGAGGAGAATTACGTCCAGGAGCAAATGGATACAAAACGATTATTATTTTAGTGTGGTGTGGAGACTGTAAGAACATGAGCAGAGTGGTGAGAACAGCAGAGAGGATCATGGGGGCTCCTCTTCCCTCCATTAAAGACATTTCATCCCAGCGTTGTGTGTCCAGGGCCCGTGACATCATCAATGACCCCTCACCCCCCCACTATGGACTGTTCTCCCTGCTGCCCTCTGGGAAGAGGCTTTGCATTATCCACTGCAGGTCAAGCAGGGTCTGCAACAGCTTTTTCCCCGCTGCCATCAGACTGATGAACTGCTGAAACTATAATCTAAACTCTGGATAACATTTGCAACACATTGGTGCCAGTGCACCTACCAAAGTGGCTGTTTTTTTTTTTTTACATTTAATTAGAACACAATTCAATTTTCTACTGCATTTTGCACCGTATTTATTTATTTTTCATTGTACTGAACCTTTAATCAATTCCTTTTGTACCATGACTAAATTTGTCTGAGTCTAAGGTCTAAAGCAGCCCTGGAGGTTAGACATGGATGGCAGTTGCCCAGGTGGTTTTAGTCAGAAGCTGCTGAGTTCTCAACAGGGTTGAATGGTAGGAACAGGAAGACTAACAAACATCTGGGAACAGCAGAGTGATTAGTTCTGATGTTCTTCCTTGTTCTTCTTTTCTGTTATGGTAGGTCGCAAGCAAGTTTAAGGTTCATACCACCACTGACTGTACATGAATGTGTGTAACATGGACTAACATCGCCTAAATTCAATGTTTTAATTTTGTAATATGAAGATAAATAAAAAATGTTTTCCTTAGAGAATAAAGGTCCTTTATGTTTCCTTTCGTTCTCAACAATCCTTTAAGACTCCATTCCAATATTATTATGGTCATTATTATTTCTTCCCTTCTATTTTTCTAAATAATATTTTTAACAAATAGAGATTTTTGTATGTTACACAAACAGCTTCCTTTCTGATCATCATCCCACCTATTTTTCCTTATTGCCGTTTCTTTACTCTTTACTGCTGATTTTCTTCCCCTTTTCCAAACGGAATAGTTACTGTAATTACCCCCCATTTAGCTAATTTGTCTTTAGTTTTA